GCGACATTAACCTTTTTGCAGATGATACTGTGTTATTCATTGCAGCTAAGGATTTAGAAGTTGCCGTCTCACACATGAATGAAGATTTGCAGTATCTAAGTAGATGGTTGAAGTGTAAGCAGTTAAAATTGAATACAAGTAAAACTAAATTTATGGTAATTTCGCGGAATCGATTAAATGAGAACGTCTCTGTTGTAATTGATGATGAGACTATTGATCGCGTTCAGGAGATTAAATATCTTGGCGTGATTATTGATGACAAACTTAAGTTCAACTCTCACATTGACAATGTCACCAAGAAAATTGCCAAGAGGTATGGAATTCTATGTCGATTGAAAAACGATTTAACTATTGCCAGTAAAATACAGCTATACAAATCAATCATCTCTCCTCATCTAGACTTTTGCCCATCCATTTTATTTCTGTCCAATGCAACACAAATATCGAGATTACAGCGCTTGCAGAATAAAATAATGCGTTTGATTTTGAGATGTAATAGATTCACTTCCTCAACTTTCATGCTAGACGCCTTACAATGGTTGTCGGTGAAGCAAAGAATTGTATATTTGACTATGGTGTTCATTTTTAAAGTAGTTAACGGTTTGCTGCCTCGATATTTGTGTGATCGAATTGAAAGAGGAAGTGACTATCATAGATATAATACTAGAAACGCGGATGAAATAAGAACACCACATTTCTTGACTTGTGCTTCACAGAATTCATTATTTTTTAAAGGAATAAATGTTTTCAATTCGATGCCTAGACACATTAAACGTTCAACAACATTAGCAGAATTTAAGAGACATTGCATTTCACACGTTGAAACTGTCTTTTGAACGGTTATCCAGTGATTTTTTTTATGAATTGACAAATTATGTATCTTGACGAAGTTATTTTTAACGGATTACTTTGTATGGATAGCTGTTATAACGACTTTTTAATAATTATTGTAGCACTGCAAAAACTATTTTGTTCGCCACGATGGTGATGATGGATTTTTGATATATGATTTAATAGTAGTAGTAAAAAAAAAAGTAGTCTACAAAGGTTTGAGCCTCGCGTGCGTATTACGGATATAGAGGACTGAATTTAACATTTGATAAAAAAAAATGCAATTTCGAAGCTTATTTGGAAGATACCTTGAGTTAGTAGTAAGTTTTCTGGCAAATGTTGGGGGTTCGTGAGCATTCCTGACATTGCTGAAAATTATGATAGCATCAGATTGCAGGGTTACTAGTGTAATAGGATGCTTTGTTGATTGTTCATTAACTCTTGATTGCTTGTAATACTTATGAATATTTTAGGTGGACAAAAAGGCGAACTAAGAGGTGGACGCCTGAGCTTTTCAACATTTATATCGCTGTGAAGCAACTGTAAACTCTAGAGGGAATTTATATCTGTAACTGAAACCAGTTCGATTTTGTTTGCCAACCTGGTTAAAATGTCATATTTAATTATCTTAAAGATAAATCGTCCAGCTCAAACCTTTGTAGGGGTAAGAGGTGGGACCATCATCATCATCATCAACATTCTAAGAGTTCATAGCATTACCTCTTGTAATCTCTTATAAATTAATTTTCAATTCCACAATTCCCTCACACTGGTAATAATTCCCAAGAATTGGCATAATTTTGTGCCCATTTTTCCCTATGTAATTCTTAAAATATTCTTAATAATTTCCTTGGTGCACTCTTCAGAATGACCGTCACACTCTTCTCAGACTTATCCGATTATTCTCTATGAACTGCTTTGTAGGTAAGGTCATAATTGTTTTGAAATCCTCTTCAGCATTTCCTTAATACTCAAGTACTTTGCAAAAATGGCCTTGATTTCTTTTTCGGATTAGATTGTATTTCCTATATTCACAAAATCTCCATGCAATTGTCATCAGAGTTGACACGACAATTTGCACTGTCTTCAACCAGAGGTAGCACAGAATGAATATTTAACATTAGACAATGGACAACACACCACTCCCAGTAGATCAGTACGTAAATTGTAAGCTTGTCAAAATTTTCACAGGCTGGAGCGGGAATCGAACCCTCACACTTCGTGGATGGAACTCTACTCAGAATTAGCTTGCAGTTCACCTTTTGAATTCACAAGGAATTCGCCTCAAACTTCACTGTAAACTATTTTCAGAATTACCTTAAAATTCCAATAATGTCCAACGTGGATGGCCTCCCGAAAAAAAAATAGTTATAATAAAACAACGAAATAACAATAATTTTAACTGTTGAATTTCGAGTACATTAAAATTTATTGTTAAATTTTTGTACGGGACCAAACATAAATTTCGATTTTTAACGATGCAATGCTCAAACAATAAAAATTAGTGTGATGACATCAAATTTGTTTGAGAAAAATCACTTTTTTTTTTATTGCTAAGATGCTTAACAACCCCCCTTTGTTACTGTAAATTTCTCAAATACCATGATTTTGGAAATATACGTGCTATGTCTGTGTATCTGGCAAGACGACTAAAAATCTGGAAAATCCAGATAAATCTGGAATACTTGCAACGCTGCACTGAAAATAAAATTTCGTTTATACAACGAAATCGCTCGTTTGTTCTACGAATTTATTCGTTGTTTTCTGCAACGAAATGGATGTGTACATTGTATGAAGCTAGTTTCGTTAGAAGCGCCATACTCGCTATCGCTACACCCAACCAGCGGGCCACAAGTGTTGGTTGTGGAAACCGAAAAATGTGGAGTGTGTTAGTGAGGATGGGTAAAAAAACTTTATCATTGGATGGAATAAACATGACAAAAAAAAAAATAAGAATAGGCTTCAGACCGCACTCGACTCATGAACCTTGCGATCGTCAGATTTGTGCTTTATTCATCGCTCTATCTGTGCTACTAGAAATGGTAGAGCTTAAGGCAAATAAGAAGCACTCATGGAATGGTAATTCGATTTCGCTTGCTTTTTCTGCTGCTTGCATGTATTTTTTTTTCTCTAACAAAACCACCGCGACTTGCCGGCGCCGGTGGTGTAGTGGTAAGCGTGACTGCTTTCTAACACCCCAATGGGTCTGGGTTCAATCCCAGCCGAGGTCGGTGGGATTTTTCTGGGGCATAAAAATCTCTGGTCACGTCTTCCTTCGGAAGGGAAGTAAAGCCGTTGGTCCCGCCCTATGTATGTGTGTTGAATGGGTGCGATGTCCTACGCAGGTGTGGAAGCTGCCTTCCTGCACATTCGATTGCCGTCAATGGATGGCAATCGATGTCCGTCGGTGATTGGCTCTAGATTGCGGAACAGAGACCGACGTTTAATTAAGGAAAGAAAAAAAAAAACCACCGCGACTAGTAAATTGATTTATTTTGGTTGTTGGTCAACCGACAATATTTCTAAAAAAAAATATCACAATCAGAACTTTAGAAGACAATAAGCGCAGTTGTTGGTTTGATTGTACGAAGATGTATTTGTATATTATACGAATAAGGCATAATATTGACATTGCGCCAGATGACAGGAAAAACGAATGCTTCGTACCATTTATGAAAGATGTGTTGTATGTACGATATTCATTTTTACGAAACGGTTTTCAGAGAAATAACGCAAATACATTTTCAGTGTGGGAATCATTTTTGAGTTGATTCAACTCTTCGCTTAAACTTTACACGTTGTGAATAGTCTCGGAATATCAAAGGATCTTGTAAAATCAATATCAAGCATGATATATTGCTTCAATATCACGCGTTATATTGAGAGCGTATGAGAGCGGAAAAATATAAATTTGCTAATGATTAAACCAAAACATTTTTTATGTGCATACCCGGCTATGTATTGTGTTATTACGATGTTTTTCACAACAGGTTTTGTTTAGAAAGGCTTCTCCACATGCATTTTTACACTTTCTTACAAAGAAGGGTATAGATATCACTTGAAAAACCGACTATCGATCCGAGGCCCGGAGGGCCGAGTGTCATATACCATTCGACTCAGCTCGACGAGATCGGAACATGTCTGTGTGTGTGTGTGTGTATGTGTGTATGTGTGTGTGTATGTAACGAAATGAATGCGCTTACGTTTCTCAGCAACCGCTCAACCGATTTGGACAAACTCGGCGCCAAATGATAGGTCTTGAGGTCCCATTGAACGCTATTGCACGGTTTTGGAATCGGTGAACCGGTTCCGGAGATATGGCCGGAATAAGATCCGGTGAATATGGGCCTTCACGCTGGATTTAACGGAAAACGTATCAAAACCATCATGCGACACATCAAATTACTACAGAATTCAAAAATAAGATCAATGCAAGTCGTGTTAAGTGTTCCAGACCACATTGGACACACTTGGACATGTTCCGGGTACCCCGGGGAAGTTGCTTTAATATGAATTGAATGAAGCCTCACCAAATAGACTACACCCGGATATATTCCGGGTACCCCCAGGCAGTGGCGTAGCGTCACTGGATGACACGGAGGTGGGGGGCTTGGTCACTGATAATGAAAATAAAATAAATAAACTTGAATAAGTAAGAAGGGTCTGATCACACCATAGGTGGATAAATTCGGGTTTTTCAGTATCGATATGAAAAAAAAATTCTTTTTCATATAAAATTGGTTAGTTGCATATGCTATTAAACAGTATGTTCAGCTCCTTTATGACAATCTGCGTTGCTTGAGTTGTGTTAATTTACGAAATTCCCGTGATTTTTTTTTCCAATAAACATGCTAGTATAAGGATAAATTCTATAGACCTTATGTAAAGTTGGATTAATAACACAAGCCAAAAGAAAGCAAAAAAGAAAAGCAAAAAGCATGACACTGATTGACTTTGACAGTGAATATTGCGTTACTTGAAATTGTGTTTATTATGCTAACCCATCAGCAAAACAAACACAGACCATCGTGCTCTGATACAAACATGATTAAAGTAAGGTTAAGTACACCGCCATGTGGATGTTGTGATGGTTCACGTTGCCAATGATCAAACATATTTTTCCGTATACATCTTCAAAGGGCTTCATTTGATAGCAACAATCTAATTACCTGCAGTCCGTATCGGAGTAAGCGTGGGCCATGCCAGGATCGTAATAAGGATCGAAACCTGAATCAGCCGACCGTTGAGAGTTCCGAACCGACCGCCGGATGCTTGGTGGTTGCGAACGCATAGAGCTTCGTCTGAATGAAACGAAAGAAACAAAAATGGTGAAACAACGATTGAAACCGTTATCAGCCACTCGGTATGAAAGTCCTACTTTGCTGTAGCTCCGACAAAATGCGACAAAAAGGACCATCCCATTGGCAGAATAGTATAGATACCGGCTTCGTTGCTGCCACGAGATCAAGGAAGCTTTTTGTTTAACTTTGCTCTGCTATAATTTATCCTAGCTTGGCTCGATGCAAGCTTCCTTTCTTAAAGTTGACCAAGCGCAATGGAATTCTATCTCAAGCAGGTAAACATCACAACATGGTGAAAAAAAAATCTTCGTACCAAAGAGTAATGAAACGAATCGGAAGAAAAACCGGAAAGCATCATTTCAATATACAGAACGCTTTGAGTGGAAACGATCTTATGTAAATCTTTATTTCCTAATACTTTATTACTCACCCTTGTCGAACTGTGCCCCGGTTGCTTCGGCTGCGTCTAGAATTGGATCGTTTTGGTTCTCGGGTGCACACGTAGCAGCAAACTCTCCAATAAAGGAACCTAGAAATAAGAAAACGGATTCAGCACAGAAAATCAGGAAATGGTAGGATCAGACGAAAACAAGATTTTACTGAGGAGATTGCAAATTGAAAATGGAACAGAAATTATCATAAGCTTTATGTCTGCAGGCGATTTAAAAAGCTTCCTCAGATTGATCTCTTTTGTGACGAGCATTTCATTAAGTACGTTAATTAATTAAATACGTCACGGGGTTAGAGGGGTTGGAGAATATTTTTAAATCTGTCATAAAGGGAAACATATTACAAAATAGGAAGGGTGTTACATTTTTCCAATAAATTTCGTGGCGTACATATACTTAATGAACGCTGCATTATATGACTTCCGATTAATAACTCACTAATAAAAAATGTTTAAACATATGATGACATTTGGACGATGTGTTGGAAAGGGAAAGATTATTTTCATTTGATTGCCAAAAATGCAAAACACATATCGATTCTAATACTGTACAAACAGTGCTTAATAATTTAGTGTCATTTAGTTATTAACTAAATACTCTTCGCATATGGAACAGTGAGCTTGTGAATTGGGATTCCCCGTTAAATTGTGGATGCTAGATTGAAAGTTATGTGCGTGACGGGATACCCGGGTACCCAGCTCCTATTTGAATAACACGGTGAAGAAAAATGCGAAATAATCATCACACACATAATGCTGAGTTTAGACGTGCCAAGTGAATTGAATTCAACTCACCCCGTCAACTAGTCGACATTCAAGTAACTTGAAAGCGAATGCATAAAGTTGAACATCGAACAACGGTTCTGGTCGTTTATTTCGCAGGGCTTAAGGGTTAGTAAAAATTTTAATATCAGTATCGAACAAGGTAAACTAGATTGAATTTTGAATCTAGGGGAGTAGTTTTTAAAGTGATATTAATTAATAATAAAATAAACGATTTTCTAAATAAAAACTAAATGGCTCAATGAGTGACTAATTAATTATAGCTCCCTATATAATAATTTATACTGTCAACATTCACATATTATATGTTTGATTATAGTATGTAAAATCACTGTTTTAATAAATAGTATTGGTCTTAGCCACACAAATGAGTGTTGTATTGGCACCAAATTGATCACCGGAGTGAAATTGATCTAAATGCCTAGCGTTTTCTGCTGTTCCGTTGAAAATGTACGGTATCAGATATTAAGTCTGTACATCACATCGGTTTATCGTAGCCACGATATAGATTGGTTTAAATCGGTATCGGTATCGTATTGGATTTCAAATTATCGATATCGGCCCGATAATTTTAGAAAAAGTTCGGTTTACCGGTAATAAATCTCTGTACCCTTTCAGCAGTATTTTTTAATGAACCATGCGTTCAATTCATTTTCATGGGACCTATGTTGCCCGAAGTGGAAAAGACATTAGAGCAGCCTTGTTACCTAATTACCACACAGAAAAAAATTCTGAATTTTTAATTATTGCGTACAATCTCCCTTCGTTTCATGTTGAGCTATACTTGGCATAAACAGCGAAATCGTTTACAAGCTTGCATACAATATTGCTAATTTATGCGACATTGCGCTTTAATTTGCACGAAATATTGCGTAAATTTATGCCAAATCTAGCGTTAGTTTTATGTGCGCTATATCTCGCATAAATTTACATTAGTTTTTCGAACGGTGCAGGGTCGATGATTTTTATTTTTTTAGTAAGGGGTCGTCCATTAATTATGTCACACATTTAAGGGGGGGGGGGGGTTTGAAAACTGTGACGAGCCATACAAAAAAAATTAAGGTCCATACAAAAAATGCGACAAAGGGGGGAGGGGGGGGGGTTGATAATGGGCCAAATTTGCGTGACATAATTATTCAATGTGTTGTGTCTGCTTGTCTGTGAAATAACATTGAGGTAACGTTAGGATAAAATCAAAACATTGAGAAATATTACGCATCACTTTTAGAAATACTTCACTTCGCAACCGATGAACCATTCTGACGGCCATATGAGTACCTAAGTAACCATATAGTCGCAATATAGCTTGTATATTCTTACTTTGCTTGAGTATGGTTAGTTGGGGAATCTGATGAAACTGTCACTTCTTGAAACTGATCCCTTTCGTATTTCTTTCATTCTCCTTTCGCACACTGATCGCTCGGTGGACCAGCGACTTTAGACGTGAGCCTCGTCCCAGATCACCATGGCAATTCAATAACAGATGGTGGACATCAAACCGACCAAAAAAGACGGAATCATATTAGAACCAACCAACCAACCAAGGACGATTTAGAGAAGGAAATTGCCGGTGAAGCACGGAAGTTGGTGGTATATGGGGCCTCATAGCCTAGTCAGTAAAGGCACGGTATTACCAAGCCGGAGGCGGCATGGCGGTATGGTATGGTCGAGGGAATCATTTGGGTTGGAAATTTTCTTGCTTGCCACACAATATACAAATTCATGATTGGTATTGGCATCGAAAGCTCTCAATTAATAACTGTGGTAACGCATTGAGAACAGTAAGTTGAGAGCACGCAATAAGCTAATATGCACTAAGCAACAAGCTTGAAATGCTAATAATAAGAAGAAGAAGTTGGCGACGTTCAATACCGCCAATACAGATCATCAGGCCAGCATAGTTTGTTTTTGTATTATTTAGTTAGCCCGAGGTTCACATCAAACATCAAAAAACAAATTCACCAAGAATCTTGAAATTTCAGCGCACCAATAACACTAGTTTACAAATAAAAGTAAAAAAAAATGAACTTCAATGTTTGACCTATGATTCTTATGTCAAATCGTGCGCTGAATCCAAAAATATATTCGGAAAAAAAATCTTAGTAAGGTATTTTTCTAGAAATAGTTAAAAAATTAAATTTCACTTAAAAAAAGTTTGATTACTAAAACGCAAATATCTCCACTTGTAATTAAGGTATAGCAATTATTTGAACGCCAAATTAAAGGTGAGAAAAAAATATTTCGATGAATTGAACATGATGGTATTGTTGTAAATTAATAGTTTGTTTAATTTTGTTTTTATGTTTTGCAGGTTTCCAAGCAAAAATTTATTTCAGCAATATTTTTGAGCAAGGTAAATACAAATTTTGGTGGTGGTTGTGCCAATAATACCACTAATGTCGCACATCATTACAGCCGGAGATACTTGTATTGTAGTAAACACACTGTTCGATCGTACCATCGGCGCCGGGCACTATTGGTTTTGAACTTGTATAGTGGCAACAATAAAAGCCCCCCGGCGCGAGATGGTAACCATGTGATCGACAATAGAAAGAGCCGTCAAGTAATATTGTAGTGCCGCCAAGTGAAGTTGGTAGTTTATTGTGTGCTCTGAAAGGAAACCCTCCACCGCCTTGAAAACACAACGTAGGGTCGCATCCTGGCCGAAACACACACTTTTATCAGGTGAAATTTCTGATTAAATTTTTGGATTCAGCGCACAATTTGACATGGGAAATGACCCTCAGCGTACAAAGTTCAAATATTCTGTAAACTAATGTAATGTCCGATGATGATAAGTTCTTTAAGGAGTATCCACTAAAACATGAAAATTATTCCAATGCTTTTATAATAGAACAAAAATGTTCACAGATAAATGTCACCTTGGGTCATCCCACTGCGACCTAGCAAGAAGTACAGTCGACTTGTTTCGCGCTCCGGTATTTCGGAAGTTTTCTCGGTATTCGGTTGGTTTAAATTATCAGTTTTTTCTCGCTTAGTGATTACTGGCATAGTACCCGGCTAAACAATTATCTGAAAGTGAGTTTTTTTTCTGAGAAGAAAGTGTGTTTTCGGCATCATCGGAAGGAAAATTGTTTTTGCGATTGCCAATTCGCCAACCATTTTGCGCACCATCGGTGCGTGATCACGCATACCGGCACACAGATCATCGTCATCGAGTGTCAGCATCTGCCTCCGCATTTATACCGGTCATCCATCATCGTGTGTCCAGCTGAGTGCCGAGCCTAATACAAGCACACCACTACAAAGATCGCCCGCACACGCGCATCGAAGGTCACCCACGCTGCGCGTCGCTCCGCTGCTGCTGTGTAATCACTCGGTGGTAGTAGTATAGCAGATAAGTTTTTTTTTTCCTGTTTCTTTCTTTCTCTCGCCCATCAGTTAAATTTAATTTTGTGTTTCTGTGTTTGTAGTTTTTTTTCTGTTTATTGTGTCTGTGTGGTTTTAAGCATCGTTTCAGTGGTAGAGCGTTTACCGCTCCCACTAGTACGGCAAAATGGACGTCTCGTCAGAAGACGATATGGACATTTTGTCGGAAGATGACACCAGTTTGCCACTCGATGGCAAGAAAAGACGAAAACGTCCTGTCATTCATGGTTCGTCTCAGAAAAGCCCCCGATCGCGAGCCTATCCAGATGACTCGACTGGGCCATGGGTTGTCTACTTTCAGCCCAAAAACAAACCTTTGAACTTGATGCAAATTTCCACTGATCTGACGAAGCGATACTCGGCCGTGACCGAAATCACGAAGGTTAGGCATAATAAACTTCGTGTTGTCGTTTCTAACCTGAAGCAGGCTAACGAGATTGCTGCCTCCCAGCTCTTTACGATTGAGTACAGGGTTTACATACCAGCTCGTGATGTGGAGATCGAAGGTGTGGTCACCGAAGCGAGTCTGACCCCCGAGATCTTGGAGAAGCAGGCGGTTGGCCGTTTCAAGAACCCCTTGCTCCCCCCGGTGAAGATACTGGATGTCCAAAAACTGGGCTCAGTATCTGTCAGCGAGGGTAAAAAGAGTTTTACCCCCACAGACTCGTTCCGTGTGACCTTTTCTGGTTCAGCCCTTCCTCACTACATCGAGCTGGGAAAACTTCGACTACCTGTGCGCTTGTTCGTTCCCCGGGTCATGAACTGCCAAAACTGTAAGCAGTTGGGACATACGGCGTCCCACTGTGGCAGCAAGGCACGCTGTTCCAAATGCGGGGAGAAGCACGAGGATGGCGTCTGCACAGTCACTGCACCAAAATGCGTGTACTGTAAGGGAACTCCTCATGGTC